GGACCGCTGGCTACCGGTCCGGAGGGAGCCATGCGCAGGCTGCTGGTCCAGACGGAGGGGATGAGGGAGGCGACAACGGGGAGGAGAGCCGGCGCCGGATCTGGCCGGAGGGGATGAAGGAGGGAGGCGGGGTGGGAAGAGCCAGGCGGCGGCGGGGAGGGAAGCCGGCGTCGTGAGCGCGCACGGGTCAGGAGGGAGGGGCAGGGAGAGGAAAAGCACTCGCGATTTCCAAATCGCAGTCCTTCGGGCGCTTTTCCAATCGCCGTTGCGGGAAGGTAAGCGAACGCGGACGCCGCGTTTGTGATGGATGCCGTCGCGAGCCGTTTGGCGGGCATATCCGGCTTCTCCCGTCGCGAACGCGTGTATGAGCGCAAACAAACAGGGTCTAAAGGTTTTAGATTGAGCAGAACTAAAACCGAATACATGAGATGCGACTTTGGCGGAGTTGTACAAGAGGAGGGAGATGTGAGTTTGGAAGGTCAAGTAGTGCCTAAGAAGGATGCCTTTCGGTATCTGGGATCGATGCTACAGAGGGATGGAGATATTGATGCGGACGTTAGCCATAGAATCAAAGCAAGGTGGATCAAGTGGCGACAAGCTTCTGGCATTCTCTGTGATAAGAGGGTACCACAAAAGCTAAAAGGCAAGTTCTATAGAACGGCAATTAGACCGGCTATGTTGTATGAAGCAGAATGTTGGCCTATAAAGATTCGACATGTTCAACAACTGAGTGTTGCAGAAATGCGTATGTTGTGATGGATTTGCGGTCACACAAGAATGGACCGAGTTCGGAACGATGATATACGTGATCGCCTAGAGGTAGCACCAATTGAAGAAAAACTTGTCCAACATCGGTTGAGGTGGTTTAGCCATGTCCAAAGGAGACCTCCAGAGGCATCAGTGCATTGTGGAGTCCTAAGCCAAGCTAAAAATATGAGGAGAGGTAGAGAAAGACCGAAATTGACATGGAGGGAGGCAATAAAAAGAGATTTGAAAGCTTGGGATATACCTAAAGATCTATGTTTGAATAGGAGTACTTGGAAAGCAGCTATTGAAGTGCCTGAACCGTGACTTGGGGCTCTTGGTGGGTTTCAACTCTAGCCTACCCCAACTTGCCTGGGACTGAAAGGCTATGTTGTTATAGTTGTTAAATAAGCTATCATGGCTAACCTTTTATTATTCCCTTTCCGTTTATGGTTCATATTCTCTCTGGCACTGCATGGTACCATCATATTGGGAATCATTTGATCAATGGAGACATAAGTTTACTGATTTTTTTTTGCCACTTTGCTTCTGATTTACGTGCTAATTTTTCTGTACATAAGAGCATCTCCAAGAGTCTTTCTTAAACTCACTCTCTAAATCATCATTTGGAGAGCCATTTGAATAAAAATCGCTCTCTATATCTTTCCACCCTCCAACAACTTCTCTATATGGCTCTTTATCTTTGGCTAGCGAGAAATCCGGAATAGATGATAGCAATATTTGGAGATCTAATTAGAGAAGTTGTTGGGGAGTATTTTTCACCAAAATCTCTATTCCTATCAATTAGGAAGAGTATAAAGAAACTCTTGGAGTTGCTCTAATTGTATTTCACAGTTAAGTCTCATGTACATTCTTTTCGCCTCTTTTTAAACATTGTTTCAGTCATTGATGACGCGACATGTGAACAAAGGCTTTGGGATATAAGAGATCGTGGTGACAAAAACTTCTACATGTGCGAAATCAGCAAAGATTTTACAATAGATGCGACATTTAAAGGAAACCCGTCACGTTTTCTAAATCACAGTTGTGAGCCCAACTGTAAACTCGAAAAATGGTAATGATGTGTTCTTCAAAAAAAAAAAATCGTTTTATAGCATGTTCCTGATTGTTTCTATGGCCTTGCCAGGCAGGTTGATGGTGAGACAAGAGTTGGTGTCTTTGCCTCACGTTCCATCAAGGTTGGAGAGCCCTTAACTTATGATTACAGGTAGTTTAAACAGTTATTTTGTTTTATTCCACTTATAAAGATTAAAGAGGCATTCATAATTAAGAAGGCTAAATGTACTTCCTCCGTTTTCATTTACTTAACAGTACCTCTTTACTGTAGCTTTTCCCTAAAGAGTTTTTAGATACTTCAAATTTTCATATCCATATGATTTGTCGTGAAGTATAATTTTTTCGTATTACATATTATGAACTATGTGAAAACATTTTGTAGAAAAAAAATGGATGGTCAATGTTGCCACAATAAATTATTGGTGACAGGTAAATGAAAAATAGAGGGAAGTGTTCTTTCAATGTCGAGAGGCTACAAGTTACTTACAAGTATACTTGGTACCAAGATGATGCCTCCCTGCAATAAGCTGATTGCAGTGACACATGAAGCTATAAGTCTGTGAATCTAGTTTGAGCAGGTGGCATCAAAATTATCAAACTAGCATCTGTGCCTGCTCGTAGTGTTATCACGTGATCAATAGTTTCCCCACCTAAAACCTCAGGCCTTAGAACTATTTCTTTACCTTTTTGTGTGGTGAATCATACGTGCAAACTTTAGTACCAGAGACTACGATATCTTTTATTAACTTTCTGGAGGTTCTTTCGCTCTATTATGACCTGCATGCATCATGAAATCCCTTTTTCAATGACTTGGTCATGTCAAATTTTGAATAAAGCTTACAAGCATAGGCCAGGATAAAACTAGACTTCCCTTTAGTTCAAACAGCTTTTGAACTTTTCAAAGATGCTATAGATAGTGCATTTCTTGAACACTATAGATAGCCTGTTTCATGTGGCTAAATTGTTGTAGACTTGTGGTGGATGTTTCCACATTTACGCGCCTGAAACCAAGATAAAAGTTTTGTTGGTCTTGGCTCTCAGCTATACTGCTCTTGGGTTTGCTAACCCAGACATTGGCATACTTTTCCTCAGTTTTCGACTGGCCAGGATTATATTCAGAGGCCACAACATTCTCTGAAACTGGGCTGCATTTTATCCTGTTTGGTTTAAGTGACAATTATTTGCTTTTTTTTTTATAGGTTTGTGCATTTTGGAGAGAAAGTGAAGTGCCATTGCGAGGCAGTGAACTGCCAGGGATACCTGGGCAGCCAAATAAAGAACCCAATTCAAAGCATTCTTGCTACTGCAGCACCGCAAGGGCAGTTGCGAGAAAATTCGTCCACACAACAAGAAGCTCCAAGATTGAAGCCAATAAATCATTTGTTACCCTGGACCAACTGTATAGAGGTCTCTTTTAACCTGAGAAGCAAAAGGAAAATTAGCCGGCTATGCTGGGCCCGCAAGAAGAAGAGAACATCCCTCGAGGCATCCTCAACAAGCATGCCAACATCGATGAGTGAAGTTCCTGCTGCGGATATCTGACTGCCCTTCCTTGAGCCCCTGCTAAAAGAGCAAAGCTTGTCCTGTATAATAATTTCATGGTACATTCTTTACATGCATTGGTTGGAAACGATTCTTTCACATTGTTCATCTATGTTGTTGTAAACTACAACATTCATTATTTGATTTCATAGGGAATTCAGTCAGTTTACAGGTGGTAGTTTGCGGAAACATGTACCCAAATTTTCTGATGAAACAAATGTTTGAGCTTCATGTAATGTTTGCTGCTGCCCTTTTATGTGGGATGATGTTACAAAACTTAATAGTCCCTGTTAACATGGCTTAAAACATGACCCAAATCTTCCCTTCTGGGAGAATGCTACCCCCATTTATTATATGTATCAGGAAGTAGCAAGAGAAAAATTCCTAGCTGCCTAGGCGTGCTAGAGCGCATAGCTGACCATCAGTTTGACACAAAAGGTGATTTACATTGTGCAACTAGGAAACTGACTGCTTGAAACACTGAAGGTAATCCTTGCACGGAAGGAGTGATGATCCTGCCACCGTTTACTGTAGTGTCTAAGATTGACTTGAATAGATGAGTTGCGTCCCTCTCTGGTCGGTGGTCGCCAACAAGGGCAAGTTTACGTTGGCAGGTCGCATTGGAGCCTGCTGCGGATCACTACGCTGAGCTGTTCTCCGTTACTTTTCTCCTACTCATGACCCAAGAAAATTCCAGACTCCCGAGGCCGGCAGTCGAGGTCTCGAGAACAAGGCAGCACAAAGAAGAAATCGTTTTGACCCGGCAGCCCGGCACCAGCATGTGCCTCGCGGCTCAGTTCAGATAAAAGCTCCACGTACGTCCCAAGAGAAGACGCTAAATGCGGTCTCGCATAATGCAATCAACTTTGCCGGGCAAGTTGCCCCCCAATAATCCCATCTCCAGATAACACGATAAGTGCCCCATCTCAATCTATCTGATTCCAGCAAGCCAGTGACCACGGGCGATGCTGTCTGAGTATTCCCCAGTACCCTCCACAACCACAGGTTGGCAGGTGGCATAGCGGCCAGTCCGATTCCAAATTTCCAATTCCAAAACGTCAGTTATCAGTATCAGTGACACCTAGATTTAGATGCCAATTTCGCAATACAATTCCAAATCTATACCACCCAAGTCCTCGTGAGTCGAATTTAGATGCCTATTAATCTATTAATATTCGTAGCACATATAGATTTCACCCTAGTTTTTTCTTTTCATTTTCCTTAGCATGCTGAGAAACGAAGTCATCACCCATATTGATTGAATATAAGAATCTTCGAATGAAACAATCACTGAAAGGGAAAGTAACTGAGTGATGTTATACTTGTATGTCACCAACATGAATCATGAAACGCAGATGCCAACAGATCACATGAAAAGACATTATTCAAATTGTATCGAACAGAAGACTCTATTTAGATTCATACAGTTCAGAAACACAATAATATGAGTACACTGCTCACTGTGGCAGACAAAGCTAACCACCTAGAGCTCTTTATTTTGCAAATATAAGCATGTGCCACATCACAATAGCACAGGTTATGTAGCATAAATAATCTGGCTTGGCTGCTTCACAAGATAACCAGGGGCAGCAACTCTAACTCTGATTTGTCGTCCTTCAGCATAGCGCATCACAGCATCAGCATTTCATCTTCTTTACCTCTCTTTCCTCGCTCTCATCAACAGCATCAGGTTCCCAGCAGGGAGCGTCAGGCTCACCACACTCTGAGCCATTCTTGACAATGTCACCAGCGAAGTCATGCAGGACTGACCTCGGCGACCCAGGGGTGGTTTCACCCGTAGCAGTGAAGCTCTGATAGATGAGCAAGCCACCAGACGGCAGAACCTGCTCAACCATGTTGCTGCAGGCATAGGCCTCAGCATCCAGTTTCTTCCCCCAGGTCTTTGCGTTGTCCCGCTCACCGAAGATAGTCACGGCAACAGAGAACTCAACTGGGCCAAAGCACCTCAGCACCCTCTTAACCAGGTCACCATAAGAAAAAGAGCCTGGGTTGAAGCCCATGACCTCATAGCTTGCATAGCTGAAGCCGTCCTCTGGGGTCACATGAATGGTCGAGAAAGCAGGGCCATGAACAGCATTCATGGAGTATCCACAGGGCTCGAAATCAAAGTCACAGATATCCATCTCTGGGATAATGTCCGAGATACCAGAGAGCTTGGTCATCTCCTTAGCACACGATGTGTAACCATCAGCAGAGGTCTTGAAGAAGACAGAAGCTTTCTTCTTGTCCAGCCCAGTCATGCACATCTCGAGAGTAACAACAGGCTCCTCAGGGCGCTCAGTGGCGTAGTAGACGTGCCACTTCTGCCCAGGCTTCGCAGAATCACCAATCACATAAGCATTACCACCGGACTTGAGGCCACCAAAGAAGCGATTCAGGAAGGTAACCTCATCAGCAAAGTTCTTGTGTGGGGATGGCTGTGCATCAGGGAATATGAATGTCCCACGGGAGTATTTAACTGCAGCAAGTGGCAACGAGCGCTCTTCAGCAAGCTCAAGGATCCTCGGAATAGCGAGCAGAAGCTTTGTAGTCCCACAGGTCTTGATCACCATCTTGTATGGGTAGACAAACAGGCTTGACTCAGATAAGACATAAGAGTCAAAGTCCTCATTTGAGAGCTCGGACACAATGGTGCACCGCGCAAGGTCGAGAACAGAGTCAATCTGGGCACGCGAGAGCGCACGCAGTCCCCTTCCGTTGGGGTCAGAGAAGACAGGTGCCTCAGAGAAGCTGATCTCAAGGCGCTTCTCATATCCCTCAAACCCAATCGCAGAGACAGGGGGAGGGGCAGCAGCAGCAACTTGCAGGACTGCCATTGTCACTCGAAAGCAGCTAGCCAGAGAGATTTTAGGAAGATCAAAATGAAAATGCAGGTGGTTTCTAAGCTACTAGGAAGGGGCTGACGAGAGAGCTATCAGGATGGCTTCCTCGCGCACTGCAAGAGATGAAACGATCCAATTGTAAGCACCATATCATAAATAAGAACTGCAACTGAACGTAGAAAGAAGGGAATTTCCTGGTACATACGTTCGAGTAAGCAGCAGAGAACTTCTTGATGCCGCCTGCAGGGCGGAGATCCTCAATGCTGTAGCCAAGGGGAGCTTCGTACATCAGGGAGGAACGACTACTGCTAGACTTCTTCTTGCCACCCTTGGACTCCATTAGAACATCCAATTTTCACTGCAGAGAAGAACCAAAGAACTGATGAGTACTGTTTTGAGTTACTATGATGGGAAGGAAATATCCATCTTTTCAACATATGTCATGAGCCATAAAATCAGAGAACGATTCCACTAGCATCTTTGAAGAATTAGTGATTTACATTTAAGACTTTCTCCAGATTCTAGGGATTTAAGGGCGTACATATATTACAAATTACAAAAGAAAATTAATAACGGACGAAAAAGAAATTCTTATAATAACCGAAGCATAATTGAGAAATCAATGAGGCATACACTATACAGACACAATCCATACCAAAGTTACGGGCTGGACAAAGGCTCTGATACAACCACATATACAGATCAGAGAAACTAGAACCACATGTACATAACCCAGACGCCAGGTGCTATCCAAAATTAGCATATTCTCCGACGAAACGAATAATTGAGATGATTAAATGATCCTAACACCATAGCAAAGAAATATAGGTACCCTGGAAATATATAATCCCCATCTCCTATCTAATCATCCGTCACAAATTAAGTAGTAATTCCCTAACCATGCTTCGTCACAAATCAGGTAGTGATTTCCTAACCATCTACATGTACCAAAGGATTAGGGTTTCTCAGCAAACCCAGCATAATCAAAGACCAGACCAAACAAACATCATACTGGATCAGATCGCACAACAAAGAACAGGTGGGGAGCAGAGATTCTTACAATCCCACGAAGGCCCGGACCTCGCTGCAACCAGCGACCTCGAGAAATTCTGCTGCTCGTCAGTCGAGAGATTTCCCAATCCGAGGGAGGGCGGGGAACCAAGAAATCCCTTCCTTCCTCCCTGTTCTCCTTTCACCGAAGAAAAAGGAGGCGGCGGCCTAGATTTCTCTCTCGCACCGAAGAGATGGGATGGGATCGATTCTTTTTCTAACCAACAACGCGGTAGGCTGCGATGAGAAAGGAGAGACGGGCCATGCCGCGTATTTATAGGGCCGCTACCGCATCCGGGTCGCGTAGAGGTGGCGGCACCAGGTCCACTGGACCGCTCGGTCCGCGGATTCGGCACGGCAGCGGCCACGGATGCGGTGGACCGCGTTCACGCAGACGCAGCAGCGCCCTCTTTCTTCCCGTTTCCGTTGCGTGCCATCGCCCGGGAGGGTGACAGGTGGGCCACCGCCCGCGCGTCGTCGCGTCTCGCAGACTCGCTTGCTTCGGGTGGGTGGTTGTTGGCGGTGCTGCCCTCCTGTCCTGGACGTGCGGCTCTCCGCGCTCCGCGGATGCGTTCCCGTGCCGAGGTGGCGACTTTGTGGAGGCGTGACTAGTGACTACGCGCCACAGCTCGGCGTCTGCCCATCCGTCCCAAAAAGATTGCAACAGTAGGATTTAAAATTTATCAAAAAGACTGCAATTGTAGAGGTTCAAAAGGATAATTTACAGTGAGGAAGCTTCCGAAGAAATGGTTCGACAAGGGAGTGACAATTGGGTTAGCATGATATTTATAGGGGTAATGTAGTAATTTACCATCAATCCTTGGTATCCGTGTCTCCGTCTCACAAAGATTGTGGTCTTTTTATCAAAAAGACTGAGATGGAGACAAGGGAGTGACAATTGGGTTAGCATGATATTTATAGGGGTAATGTAGTAATTTACCATCAATGCTTGGTATCCGTGTCTAGTCTTACAATTGCGGTCTTTTTGAGATGGAGGGAGTACGCTGTTGGACGGTTGAAAAGTTCTAATGACTAGATGGGGTGAATAGCCTATTAAAAATTTCTAAAACAACACTTCACAAACCGGTTACATAAATATGATACGAAACGAGTGTTGCGCTAGCCTACTAAAAGTGCAAGCCACCTACCATAATTCTAGTTTCTATAGTCTCTATCCACATAATAGCTATGTTACTACACTAAGTTAGTGTGCTCTCAAATGCTAACTAAAGAGCCACACTAACCAAAGTAACAAGCTCTCATGACTAGCTACACTAAAGAATTTGATAGCTAGTTTGCGATAATATAAAAGAGAGAGCAAGATGGTTATATCGCCGACTCGAAGAATGAACTAATCAATCACAAGGATGAATACCAATGAAGACCAATTACCTCGAAATCAAATGATGACACAATGATTTTTTTATCGAGGTTCACTTGCTTGCCGGCAACATAGTCCTTGTTGTGGCGATTCACTCACTTAGAGGTTCACGCGCTAATTGGCATCACACGCCAAACCCTCAATAGGGTGTCACACAACCAACACAAGATGACACAACCAACACAAGATGAGAATCACACAAGCCACGAGTAATTTACTAGAGTACATTTTCGCTCTCCGCCGGGAAAGGTCAAGAATCCCTCATAATCACCACGATCGGAGCCGGAGATAATCACCCACCTCCGCTCGACGATCCTTGCTGCTCCAAGCCGTCTACGTGGCGGCAACCACCAAGAGTAACAAACCAAACCCACAGCAAAACATGAACACCAAGTGCCTCTAGATGCAAATACTCAAGCAATGCACTTGGATCCACTCCCAATCTCACAAAGATGATGAATCAATGATGGAGATGAGTGGGAGGGCTTTGGCTAAACTCACAAGGTTGATATGTCAATGCAAATGCCCAAGATAGTGAGTTTGAGCCGGCCATGGGGCTTAAATACAGAGCCCCCACGAATAGTCGTTGGCTCTCTGTTCCCTGAAAAATCAGGGCAACCGGACGCGTCGGTCGGATTGACCGGACGCAGGACCCCAGCGTCCGGTCCTCAGATTTTTGCCACGTATTCCCGGCTTCAAATACTGATCATCCGATTTCAACGGTCATCAGTGCACTTAAGTTGTGACCGGACGCATTGCTCAAAGTGATCGGACGCTCCATCACTGAAGTTCGATCGTTTCTAGAAAGGCACCAGAGCTGGTTTTTCACGACCGGACGCGTCCGATCATAGGCGATTAGACTCGGACCAGAGTCTAGTCCTTACTGGCCTGTTTAGATGCTTTCGTTAGCGTACGTCATCACCTGACCGGACGCACCCCCAGCGCGTCCGGTCCTATTTTTTCTCAACGTTCGGTCAAAGGACCGAGGGCGTCCTTCACTGCGCACCACTAACCGGACACAGGGTCAGAGTCTGGTCACTGCCCAAGGTAGAGTTCGGTCAATACAAAATAGCTCCTTTTGACCAGAAACTTTACCACCCTTGATTAAATGTGCCAACCACCAAGTGTAACACTTCGTGCATGTGTGTTATCATATTTTCACAAACATTTTCAAGGGTGTTAGCACTCCACTAGATCTTAAATGCATATGCAATGAGTTAAAGCATCTAGTGGCACTTTGATAACCGCATTTCGATATGAGTTTCACCCCTCTTAATAGAACGCTACCGATCTTAAAAGTGACCACACTCACTAAGTGTCTCGATCACCAAAACGAAAAAGCTCCTATCAAGTTTCACCTTTGCCTTGAGCTTTTTGTTTTTCTCTTTCTTCTTCTCCAAGTCTAAGCATTTGATCATCACCATCATCATTGTGGCAGAACCGCCCAAAATAACACACCTTTGGAGGTGCTCGCCTTCCACCAGACACTAAGCACCCCGAAAGCAAGCTACATCGGGCGGATTCCGTCGAGCACACCCCAAGGGAGAACTTGAATAATCCATGTTTTTCTTTCAGGATCAATAATGAGAACGAGTTTACAATACTTAGTCCATTTCATAGAACCAGAGTTCTTAGAAATACATTATTACAGTACCAAATTCAAAGTGCGGAATTTAAACAGTGGAATTAAAATAAACGTCTATCGATAATATACAAGGATTCGTCTATGCCCACCAGAAGAATCATTCACACAACAGCTACTCCTCAAGCTGCACCTACAACAGGGGTAAATAAACCCTGAGTACATAATGTACTCGCAAGACTTACCTGACTAGTGGGAATGATTTTTCGACTCTGAAGGATATGATAAGCTTTATGGTTTGCTGGGTTTCCTTTTTACGGAAAGCAATGCTAGTAGTAAATCCTTATGTATGTTTCTTATTAGCAGTCATGATTAGTTCATTACCTAACCATTCTAGGTAAGCACCTGTTCTACGTTCAAGCAAGAGTTGAGCAAACAAATCCATTTCACCATCCTTCATCTTCCAGTTCTTACTACGGTGCTAGATTGTAGACAAGTCGTACCGGATTACTCGGCAATTCACGAATCAATGTGCTCAGCTGGGTACCCCGAAACACACCCCGCTTGTACCCAAGGCACAAGCAGGACCAACCCATCACTCTCCTGTCAAGGGTTCTAGGTCCCTGTCCAAACTTGGACTCCAAGCCCTCACACCTGAGTCCCGAACTCAGTGTGGTGCTTAGTCCTCCACCATCCCCGCCTCCAATCAATCGGTCCAGATAGAACTGGAACCCATGACAAGAGAGCAACGAGCCTTCCTTGCTCCCATAAACAAGTATATGCTCAGGATAATAAGTCCGTGGCGTGACTAGAATCCAATGCAACGGTCGGTCCTTAAACGACACGGACAGGAGAAAACAGTGTAACCAAGCTATGCCCCATTGGTAGTGGGACACAACCCCTTACACCCACCAATACCCGTACCATATCCCTATTCGGTCTCCATTTTCCTTTCACCATTTTATCATGAGAGTGATAATA